CTAAGGCACAAGGGGCAAGTTTTTGTTCAATTTTTACTTTATCTGAAAAGAAATAAAGTTAGGCTTCTGTTTTTTTTTTTTCACAGAAATCAAAATAAAATAGCAACTATATTATAATTTTCTTTTGAAATGTAGTTAATGAGTTATAAAAGAGATATAAGAGGGACCCTTCAATGCGGCTGTTTATTCAGTTTGGTCTATTTATAAATCCCCAATTCACAACAAATCATTCAAGGGCACTTTATAATTCTAACAAGTTTATTTAGTATTCATTTGAAATAAATCTTGTTTGGTCTAAATTCAATTCAGTGATAGTAGGTGTTGGATTCATAGAATAGATCCCACATTACAGTGAAAATCAGTAGATTATTTCATGCTAACAATCATGCTATATTGAGTCGTCTGCAATGATATTGGGAGTCAATGATATTGATATTGATACTACTCCCTTCTAACCAGTTGAGGCATGTTTAGTAGATATGTTTCCATCTGCTTCTACTGGCCTAAGACTGAAAACAGCAGAGAATTGAAATAACACTGAAAATTGTTGAGCCAGAAGTACTTTCTAAATGAAATTCTAAAGAACAAAAGGTTGAAGGCAGCTTCAACACCATAAAAAAGCTCCACTATAGAAAGAGACAGCTAAAAAAATAGACATAGATAGGGATGTTCTCTATAGATCTTTGCTTTTTGATGATTGGAGTTCTGCAAGCTTTGAACATCATCAGACAATCTCCTCTTGCAAATAATTTGATTATCTATCCAGCTTTTCGTGAGTATCTGTATGAATCAATCAATGGCGCTGTACAGAAATCCATGCAGGAACATTTTTGTTAAACATAGAATCACTGAACCAGGCGTACCTTCGAAAGACAACTGAACGAGGAAGATCCCTCTAAATAATAAAGGTAGACATTTACAGAAAAAGTATTTTACATAAAATTACCTTTAAAAAACTTAAACCAATAAAAGAAACTCATGCAGGAGTTAACTATTAAGTTCTGCCTCTGAATAATAATAAAAGCTAATATTCCTTATTTCCATAGTGGCTCATGGCAATACTGGCTGACTGTCTCTGTCAGTCTTTCTACAGCTGCATTTCCAAATTTAATTTCAACACATTAATATTAAATCTTCAAATCCCTCAAGAAACAACAGACCAGTAGAGTAGAACAATAATACAAACCTCATTCTAAAAATAAAGAGAACAACAAACTGAACTCTGAGCAGGTAAATATTTAAATATAGGCAGTTTTATATAAAATGCTCACCAACCACATGACATGAGCATGATTAAAATGCAGTCAGCTTCTACACTATTCATTCTTTTACTCTGCAAACTGCAACACATTTAAGTGCAACCTTTTCAAAGCCTCATGCAATGAAGTGAGAAGGACAACATTTTCCTAAGCCTGTCCTCTTTCTGTTTGTGTGCAGGAGGTGATGGATCTGGAGAGAAGTCTGGGTGGAGTTTTAATAGAGGATCCCAAGCCGCTGCTTTTTAAAGACAGCTATCACAACCTCCGCCTGTCCATCCACGATATTCCTCACAATCACTGGAGGAGCAAACTTCTGGCTAAGTACCAGGTGCTTCACTTTGATATTCTGCATTTATTTTTGGACCATTCTTTCCACAAAGTTTTTTATTTGATATTACTAATAAGCATGTGCATGCTTGCCCCGTGCAAAAGAAATGTGTTCTTAATAATAAAAAGAGAGGCAAAAAATAAAATACCTAAGCAAAAAGCACAAATTGGAAATTACAGTTTTAATGTTTTTTTTTTTTTAATCAGAGAATATATTTTGCTTCTTTCATTTCTTCAGCAAACGTTGTGCTTCTGCTCTATTTGCTGCAGAAATAAGATAACCCAGCCCAGAACCTGTTCAGAATAAACAATCAGGAAACCTGATAGTGGTTCAAATTTATGGGCTTTGTGCTTTTGAGATAACCCATAAGCAGACAGTTGTAGGAAACATATACGCCTTAAATAGAAACCAGATGCTTCTGTAGAGGATTCTGTGCTGCAGAGATTACAAGGTTTTAAACATGTGTCTTTGTGCAACAGGAGATTCCTTTCTATCACATTTGGAGCGGCAGCCAGAGACCTTTACACTGCACCTTCAGCCTGGAGCGAGCCAGCCTGGCTGTGTCGCAGCTCGCCTGTAAGATCTGTGTTCGGCAGGTGGAAGGGGAGGGACAGATCTTCCAGCTGCACACAGACATCCAGGAGGTAACGTTTTCCTGCGGAAATTCTCAGCAGCACAAACACCTAACATGTTCACTCCGTGGTTAATTTCTCTGCCTCTGAACTTCTCCATCAAACTAGACTCTCCCACCTCACTCGCCGCTCCCATCGGCAAGCACCTGCCTGCCTTCCTCTCAGGTGGGACCGTATGCCTTTCGCCTGCCCGACTCCATCCGCCACAAGATCTGTGCCAGCCTGGATGCACCCAGTGCGCGGGGTTGTGACTGGAGACTTCTGGCTCGCAGTCTGGGCTTTGACAGGTCAGGTCTATCTTTAGTTTTAATATCTGGGGTATGGTCCATCAAGTTAAAAGTTTCTGTACCATTTTAAATAGATGGGTACAAATAAAGTGGAGTTTTGAAACCTTTGTTTACGGACTCTAACATCTCTAATAAGAGCAAAATGACACAGCTATTTTGCTCTATAGTCAGGCATAGTGACACTACGGTCATTACAGCAGGTGTTGGTGCCTCCAGCAGTGTCTCCAGGTGCCAAGACCAGCATCTTCGTGAAGCTTGTCAGAAGTGGCAGCCTTTCTTAGTAAACATCTGAGCTGGCCTAAAGTTTCATGAAACACACAGGTCAATACCAGCAGATGACTTGGCACCACTAATCATCACACTGGACCTCAAAATGGATTCTGCCTCTCTCTTCTCGTCCTCCAGACTCTGGCTTTGGTTTTCTAATGAAATTACAGCTTTATTGCTTCTGATGTTGTCTCTGCATCAGGGGCTACAGAAAGTGTAGCCCACGTTCTGGGTCGGTCAGTTTATGGTGATATATTGACTTCAGCTCATGTTTTATGGATTAACCATTTTGCACCTGTTACTACCGGGCTTTTAAAAAAACTGTATTGAACCAGAGAGGAGAATGAAATACATTTTTCTCTTTTATGAAGGACTTCTGGCCTAAAGGATTCATATATAAAAATTAAATGTACATTTTAAGCAAAGAAGAGTTAATATATTCAAAGTACTTTTTCAAAGTCTTGTTTGGAAAGAAGTCATTGAGCTCTTGTTCTATAGCAGGAGTTTTAAATCATTGTTCAACTATCCCAGTGAAACCAAACCATTATGCTTAAGTCTACTCTATAGATTATTTATTGACAAAAATAGAGAACACAGTCCTGCAAAGTTCAGTTAAAAAGAGTCTAAAATGTTCTCTAAGAAAGGTAACCCACTTTTCCCACTTTTGGATGCTGATAGTACTGTAAAACCGGCTGTAAATACATTTTAATCAAGTCCAATAAAGCTCATAATGCTACCAAGCCCTCTGACCATCAACAGCAGAACTGGCGGGGGAAGTAACTTGTCTATGGATTATTCGAAGCAGGGGCTAAAAGCAATAACCCTATGGTTAGAGGACAAAAGCCCTTCCCTCTGAGCCACCGTAGCCCACCAGCCAACATCTTTAGCAATTACCTTTTTATGGATGTATCATTCTTGTGGAGTTCTTCATTTTGGAAATCTTTCCCATAATTGTGTAGGGCATATAATCACTTTTCTGTATCAAAAAAATTATTTTAATAGAGTTAAAAAGGTCTTGGAGAAACAGAACATTTAGCTTTGGTCAGTTATTACTTTAATTTAGCTCTATATAAAATTATTATATATTGTAACCTTCTGATTTCATTATATTTAATATATTTACACCTAAAGTGCTAAAGTAAAGAGAAAGAGATTGAATAATTTCAGTCGTTACCGTTATTTTTTTTTTTCTATTATCAGAAACGTCTCCTCACATCATGTCTTCTCCATTTTTCACTCTCAGGTATCTGAACTACTTCGCCACAAAGCCCAGCCCTACAGGTGTCCTGCTGGACTTATGGGAAGCGTGTCACCAAGGTGACGCAGACCTGGTCTCTCTGGCGACAGCTTTGGAGGATATGGGGAAAAGTGAAGTGCTGGTCGTCATGACAACAGATGGGGATTGCTGATTGGCCAAGAAACTGGAGATCAAGCAGGACATTTTAGGAGTTTTGTTTCGGGGGAAGGTTGGGGGTTGGTGTCCATGCAGGGATGAAAATGAGAACCCTTGCCTATGAATATGCACACGCTGACACAGATCTTTCAACAGCAGAGCATTTTGGTTGTACCACCCACTCCTTTGCTGACTCCTGACCAGCCGTTGTAGCCACGTATCAACCATAACCCATTCCCACGTGTGCCGTCCAACTGCCAACCTGATTCAGCTTCAGTTCTCCAAAGCAATATTGGATCAGCTAAATGAAAAAAAAAAAAAAATGAGTGCTCCAAATGGGGAAAATGCTGCAAAGTCTTTCAAGATTGTGATGTAACATGTAATTAAGTAATAGAAAATAACATATCTTACATATGTGAGAACAGTGTTAAATTGCAGAAATCTGTTAAGCAAACAAACACCTATATGAGAACATGGGGTTATTTTAGTAGCAGCATGGAAGAGCATGATTTAACACCATCTCATCTCATGGCACAGCCTTTTGTTTCCTTCATTCTCATTCAGAGTGGGCTGTGAATGACAGGCTGCACCAACCTGCCTGCAGCCGTACAGGCCAACGCACACACATACGTATGCACACATACACTCTGCAAAATACAGACACGGAGAAAGTGGTCGTTAATCGGCTTGAAAACATGCAGGCCAGGAATTCTCGTCTTATGGATAAGGATCATATCCTGAAGGTTTCAGTCGGATCGCTTCTGGCTGAAAAGGGAAAAAACGCTCTGCCTTTTCGTAACTGTGGGAGTGGGAGATTAAATTGCAAAGTTGGTTGCAGGATTGGCAGATAACTAGGCTGACTCTTTTTATTGTACCAACAAATGCCTCAAAGCCATGGTATATCGCGCCGACTCACAGGGGTGTTTCTCTTTCATCTCTCCTTGCATTCCTCCGTCTCTCTGCCACGCTCCCTATCTGCTGAGAATAAACTGCATCATCCCTCAAAAGTTTCCTTTGGGGAACGCTCTTTAATTTATTATCCATATTTGTGGATTGCATTTTTTTTCCATGTTGTTGACAGAGTTATAATATTGGACCTGTTTTACCATTTGTGCTTCTTTAAGCTGCTGAGCTGCTGTTGATTGTTATTTTGTTTTCATCCTAAAGCGAAGTGCACAGCTTTTAGCCGTTGGTAAGAAAATTATCCTATTGTTTTTAATTTGATGCATCTTTTCAAAATGAACAATTTCAATTGCCTTGCAAAAGTATTCACACCTCAGACGACAGTTTTTCATATTTTGTGAGCTACAAAATTGTGATGGGATTTTATATGATAGATTGACAACAAGGAAGTTATAATTATGAATTAATTATGAAGCAGATGGATAATTATGCTCAGCAGACAAAGGTTATATACAATAAAATAAAAAAATGCGTAGTATTTACACCAGCAAAATATGGCTGCTTTCCTAAACTTGCAGGGCAAGGTAAGGAGAGCATATGAGAGGCAGCCAGTTTTTCCATAGTAGCCCTGGAGGAGGTTCATAGATAATCTGCTCAGGTGATGGGCGATTCTAGAAAGGGGCCAGCGGGGGCCAGTGCCCCTGTAGATCATGTCCTGGCCCCTGTTATGGCCCCTTTACTGAAGACATAATACTTAAAGAAGTTCTAATGATGATATGCGCTGGAAAGACATGGTTACTGATAGGTCCTTTGGATCTATTTTATTTTTTTCTTTAGAAATTCTGTTTTACTAATTATTTAAAAACAATAAGGTGATAGCTCCAGTGGTATTGAGATGGGAACCAAGTTTTCATTTGCTAAATGTTTTTGTTTTTTTTTTTTCAAAACAAATTTTAAAAATGCTCTAATTCAGATTTTAGAGAAAATTTTAACTTAAATTAAGTCAAAAATATGCAAAATTCCTAAATTATGAATTTATATGGACCTTATAAGAAATAGAATTTTAATTAAACCTAATTTAATAGAAATGTCACCTCATACAGTTTTCTTAATATATTTGAATCCCTTGCCCTGTTTTTTATTTCATTCTTTTCTGTGCCCCCATGAAAACACGCTGGCCCCCTCCTGGCCCTCTGGTACATTTGGTCTAGAACCGCCACTGGCTCAGGTGGAATAAGTTGTCAAAGGGGTGAACCAGCTGTTGTAAACTACGCATCTTCATAAGAAACAAACCGAAGGAATGGAATTTTTGAAAGACGCATGAGAAAACTCATTTATCATAAGCTATTTATAGCACCCTGCAAACATATAAAAGAATGCCCATTGGTCTTCAAAACTCTATGTATGACTGGGAATGAACTCTGCAAATCCCACCATCCCCATAGTGGTACATCTTGGTAGCAGCATCGTTTTATGGGGATGTTTTGTTGTTTGGGTGTTTTTTGCAGCAGCAGCAATAGGAAACCTGTCAGGGTTGATTAGAAGATGGATCTGTAAGCAACTTCAAGCAACCTGAGAATCTAAAACCTCAAACATAATGGCAGAGCTTTAGGGGAATGTGTGGTCCCAAACTTTTGGCCTGGTTAAAATCCAAATCCAATGATTTAAAAAGTAATGTTCACAGATGCTTCCCATTTAAATTGTCTTAGACATCTTTCAAAGAACCAGCATATGTTTTTTTTCTAGATGTTTAAAGATGGTAAATAAATAATAAATAAAAAAAACACACCAGACTTGATCACAATAATATCTGGAACACACAATTCCCAGTCGAAAAGGAATTTAAGTTTCTGTTTCTGACATGACATTTGAAAAGGTTTAAGGTTGATGAACACTTTTGCAAGGCATCATAGTTCGTAAGTCCCAGCGCTTTGCTTTGTCTGAGAAGAGACGATTATAGAATAAATTAGCCTTACCTGAAATCAATTTGGCATCAAGGGACCATATATGTTAATTTACCGCAACACAAGCTTAATTATGTCTTGTAAGTCATTCTATCCTCCTTTATCCAGCAGTGATGGCTTATTGACGATCTATCTCCTGAGCTCCCTGCTCTGTGGCTAGGCTCCTGGAGCTATTTGTATTATCATTATCGATCTATCAGTTATTGTTAGATGAGAATATGAGAATTTCTTTATGTTTTGTTTCTTGAAGAAAGGCAAAGCAAGTGTTTATAGTTTTAAAACGACAGAAACCAAAACAGCGTCAGTATCCCACCTCCTCAGCTGTGAGTCATGCAGCTGTTTTGTGTGAATGAAGTGAGCGTGCCTGAGTAAATGGGTTTGTGGAGTCAGATTGGAGTTCACGTACAAAAAAAATGTGTACATCATTTGGAGCTGTCATTTCTATAAGTGCTATGCAAGTAGAAAAGAAAAGTGAAGCTTTTCCAACTTCTTTTGGTTCCTCTAAGAGTATTTCTATTTTTACAGATCAGAACATTCACAGTTTTTTTTTTTTTGTTTGTTTGTTTTTGTATCTTTAAGTGGTTTCTGGACATTCTGATTTTGCAAAAGCATTCTCCATCTGGACTGGGAGAGCTGGATCACTCACCTCACTGAGGATGCCATAAATGATAAAAATCAGAATGGCACATCAGGCTCAGGACAAACCGTGGCTTACATGGTGAACCATGCCTTGCAGGCCTTTGCCATGAAGAAACAGCAGACTACAACCCGTTCAGTGAGCCAGCAGGACTTTTTTTTTTTTTTGTGAATTCATGGAGCAGAACTTTCCCTGCTGAGAACTACAAAGTGTTTTTGCCTGCAGATATCTGGGTGTCTACTTTTCGGCCATAATCTCTGGATTATTAAAGCCGAACGTGACTGGTTGGCTCATTTGAAGGAGACAAACTCTGCCTTTGTTCAAATATTGAGACATTTTTACAGAAAATCTAAATGGTTCAGTGACATTATTTCGTCTCTGTGAAGCACCAATTGTAAATACCTGTTTAGCATTCTTACTTGTAACTAAATATAATTTTTATGCAATAAATTATATTTCTTAGTTTAACATGATTATATGTCGTGTGCTTTTTTTATTTCTCTTAAAGTACATTATTTCAAAGTACCATAATGAATTAGGAAAATCCAGCTGAATGTTTATCAAATGGTTCTGTTGGACAAAATGTCTTCTAAATGGCATCTGTTTCGTCAATTACGAACCAAAAAAAGCAAAGTACCTCAACCTGCACCACTTTGCTTCACACCTCGCTGAGAAATTCCCTTTAGGTCCATTTAGCTTTGAAAGCTTTTATCAGACAGGCCCTCACATTAACAGGTCTAGGAGACACTAATAGTGCCCTTCGAGGACTGACATTGGCATTTACACCGAGGGCTCTAACCTCAGTCCTTTTATGACTGAAGAATGGTTTGATTAAACTGTTTTGGCAGAAATAAACAAACCGGTGAGTCATCTTTACTGATGCTACACTTCAATACTTTGCACCTGTCCTATCAATTATCGCACAGCTAATTGAGAACTGACTTGATATCGATTGCATGAGTGAAGCAATGCTTTGATAATGTCGCCGACGCTGCCTTTGCTCTTTACACAAACCTTTCATGTTAACTAAATGAATGAAGTTACAAACCTGCTGTAAGTAAAGAGGAGTGAAAAAGTACTTACTCCTAGTTTTGCTTTTTTGTCTCACTTTAATCTTCCAGATCAAAAGACACATTTTCATGTGGGATAAAGATTACCAGAGTAAAACATAAACCGTTTAGGATTATTTTGAATGATAAACTCATGATTTACTTTATCAACGGAAACGTGTCCAAAAGACTGGGAGCTTGTGTGAAAAATTGCACAACAAACCTAATAATTGTTAGTAGAAGGGTTCAAATGTTTGTGTTAATTGGCAATGTTTTTTTGTTTGTTTTTTTAACATCTCTGCTGCTGGCTCTTCCTTCTTTAATTTGAAGCTGGAGCCATTAGAAAGTTTTGAAGTATGAATATTTAACATAAGGAATCTAACAATTATCATCCAAGCTTTGACCAGACCTATGCAGAAGCATGATTTAGTTTTGTCTACTTGCTGGTTCCGCTCTAAACCCCTGTCCTATAGCATAGACCATTGTGTTTAAGTTTAAACACTGATGACGAAATGTCCTCATCAGGTTCTGTTAGACAGTCATTGGGGAAAAAAAAAATTATAAAGTCCTTCCATGTCTCATCAGTCCACACCATATTTTCTGCCTTGCAAAAGGTTGTTGCTTTTGCTAAGTAAGCCCCATTCTTAATGCAGAATCACAGCACAAACTATTAAATTATTATACTGCAACTGCTATAGGGGAATCTTAAACTGAAAAGAGTTTAAATACAAGCATCAAGCATGAAGAGGAAAAATCTTGAGTTACTGTAAGTGTATTATGGTTTTAATTAAGCAAAACAGTAAGTCTATTATTGGGGGCTTTATTTTAAAAATGTACAGAAAAGAAAAAAGAAAGGTTACATTTTTAAGAAAGTACACATCATGCCTCACAGCGGAGCAAATGAGTTATCAAAGAGACAGCCTGGAGAAGAAACTGTCTCACATTTTTTTTTTTCAAATAGTGCTCTGTACTACCGCCTACAGTACATAAAGGTAAACATCTAAATAGGTTTTGTGCAGCATGTATGTGATCCACTGGGATGTCTGTAGGTTTCTTTCTGACTGGAGATAAGGAAAAATTCCTGTCATCGAACAATAAAAAAAGACAACAATCAAAAGATAAACAATAAAATATCACAGACGTATGTTTTCTACAAAACATCAGACTTTATTCTTTGCAGGAAGCTTTTTTTCCCCCTGACTTGTCAGAAGGTGGCAGTTTTGATCAGTTTTTTTTGTCTCTGTGATGGTCCCAGATTTAATCCTGATCTTTCCATCACTGATTCTGGACAGAAATAGTCTGCAGACTTTCTCTTCCAGCACCTATTAGCAGCGTCTCTACTAAAATGCATTTGAGAAGAGAAGGTCCAGCATATGTATTTAGCATGAGAGGATCAGGATGACAGGATAAACTGTCCTACTGCTCCATCTCCTGGTTTATATGGATCGGTTGAAGCTTACGGTAACTTTTTTTTTATTTTTTATTTTTATACAAATATACACATCTAATTGAGCCTTTGTTGAAAGTGATCATTAAAAATAATAAAAAAACAATCTGTCTGGCAAAATGGCTCTTCTTTCTGGTAATGGTTATATTCTTTATGTTGTTGATTATAAGCTAAATCAAAAAAAGCTGTGATGTTTTTTTTAAGTTTTTCTGGTAGCTGTGCTATTAGGCCTATCTGAGGCGATACTCATTGCAAAACCTAAGAGAAATGCTATTCTTTTAAGGGTTTAGTTTCTTTTTTCTAAATTATACTTAAAAATTCATATCACATCACATGTCAAAAGTTGTTGGGATCCTTGAATCATGGAATCAAGACACAGTACCAACTTTGTGACTATTTCTCCATCCTTTTAGATGGTAAATGCTATTAAACAATGTGAACTTTCATCTTCCTTACCAATGTGGTAAGTCCGCCCTAAAGACATGGAGGGCAAACAGTTCATATTTCTGAGCAGCTGAGTTTGCATTAGCTATAAGGCATAATACATTTCCGTAAATAATTATATTATATTACGTTAATTCTTTGTTGTATTTAGTGAATTAAAATAACTTTTCAAACGTTTATATAAATATTATAATGTATAGAAGAAACTGCAGAATTAGTACTTTTAGTATTCGGCTTTTATTGTGAAAAGCTGCTACGATCAACTTCCTGTCTATCAACGTAAGCTATTTTTCTGCCTTTAAAATATATAGGCCTATATATGTTCAGTCTTTCTTTCAGTTTACATATATTGGCCACTATATTAAGTCGTTTTATATTTATATTTTTTTCTTTCTTTTTTTTTCCATATCGTGTTTGTTTGTTTTTGTCTTACAACCGGAAGTGGTGTTGCAGCTGCTAACCATCCGAGCTTGCACTTCGGAAGTAAATCAGCTGACCAGAAACACCAGTTTGCTGTCAACTGAATCTTTTATTTTTGGAAAAACCTGTTTGGAAAGCAGTGGAGCGAAAGTGTCGAAGTTTTCAGGGATGAGGTTTGTCTTGTTCATTTGTTTTCAACCATCGGTGGAGCTAGCTTGCTTTGCTTTTAGCTTTAACTGTTAACCCTAATCATTTTTTTAGACAAAGAATAAATAAGGTTAATGTAAAGTTTAGATAAAGTATCGAAAAAGCATCTTTTATTGATAGGGATATTGTGGTGCAGTATCCTGTTTCAGTAAGTCAAAGGGTTTTTGTTTTAGTATCATGTGAATATTAGTTCCTCTTTAGTCACACTTAAGTTGCAAAATCAACTTTTACCTCAAGATAGTGGCTACATTTTACTGCGTAATTTTTATTTATTTATTCTTCTGACACATCTGCAGCACGGTGATCGTGGAGGAGCTCTGTTAAACATTTAAGGACATTTTGATGAGAGGTGAGATTAAATTAGGGGCTTCTGTTTGAAGTCGGAGTAAAGAGTCAAACAATCACATGTCTCAAAAACACGGGATGTGAGAAACGTTTTGTCTGGAAGATTTGTCTCTGATTGAATAGGCAGGTCATGACTTGAGTTACTCAACAGAGACTTGATAGAGGACAGTGGGAGAGAGGTGCCTTCATAAACACATTGATGGTGATGGTGTTAATGAATAAGTCTGTGGGTTTCTCTGACTCCACATGCAGGGCCTGATGAGCAGCTTATTGAGCAGCTCCTCCAGAGTTACCTTTGATTAATGCTCTCTTTTTCAAGACATCCAGTTTATTAACAGTGGTTAACAGTGTTGTTTGATTTATTGTTTATTGTCTTGATCAGTTCTTGGTGGTATGTTTAGGCCTTGTCATGATGTTTATAACCTTGCTGTCTTCTCTATAGATTTATCTCTAACCTGGCTTCTTTGTTACTAGGTCGTCATTAGCTGTTGGTCTTTATTGATGTTCTTTAATGAACCTCTGAATACTGAGATTATATTGCATTACTATGTTTGATTATATTATATCACTATGTTTAATAATCAGAAGGGAAATGGTTTTATTGGATTTTAGTAGTACAAGTAGTAAATGACACCGTATAAAAGTGCATGTCATATTTTTTTTTTTGGGGGGGATTATTTGTTAAAAGAATCTCCTAATGGATATGTGTTTTTTGTATTTACATCTAAGTTTGTGGATGTAACATGAAAAAATGGGGGGAAATTGAAGGGGTATGAATTAGGGCTGCACTATTATGCAAATTGATTGATCTGTTAGTTATTTTTTCGATTCATCGATTAATAATCAAATAGCACAAGGGTTCCTTAAAGGGGATTGTTTAATTTTAACTAGGTGAAACTAAAACTTTTCCACTTGAGGAGTTCTGGATGGAGAGAATTGATTGACGAAAAAGTTTTTTCTTATCTTAAATGCACAATGTTTCTATATGTTTTTACAATCTTGGTATAATTTCTGCTCTAAGTTGGTTGCTCTGTCAACGAAAGGCATGTTTTAGAGCTTGTATACTCCAGTTAGAAATTAATCAGTTACTAAATTAGTTGACAATTATTTAAATATTCGATTAATCCGATTAGTTGTCTCAGCCCTAGTACGAATACTTTTTGCTACCTGATATTAAACTACAATGTGAGGAAATTATTGAGTTATATTTTAGGGGGATCTCTGCTGCTCTTTTGGAAACTTGTTTTTACTGCTCTAACGTTATCTCACATTTCTCATTATTCTGTAGAACCAAACTTTTCACTTCTGTCTTCTCTTTTCCCCCAGCTTGCCCTTTTCTCTTCTGTTTTCACCCTCTGAGTACCCTGGACCCTACCTGTGAAAATGGACCGCACAGAGTCTGTGCAGCCCAGCGTCAACTCATCCTATCTCCCGCCTGGGTACGACGAACAGAGCTCAATCGAAGATGAGGAGGACGAAGATGCCAGTCCCTCTGCAGCTCTTCTTCCTAAAGTCTCCTCTGCGCCTCTGGCTGTGCGCTACAGTCCAGAGGACTCGTACTTTCTGGTATACATTATCTTTTTTGTGATGGGCGTCGGTTCCCTGCTGCCGTGGAACTTCTTCATAACAGCCAAGCACTACTGGCACTACAAGCTGAGCAACAGCAGTGACCACAGCGGGCGCTCTGGTCTCAGTGTGAGTAGAAGGCTGATGAGGTACAGCTGAATGTTTTTGTTTTGATTTGTTTGTGTCTGGACATTTCTAAAGATGTCTCTGCATCTGACATAGCACCACAAAGATCACAGTACGTTCGAGTGTCATTTCATATTTCGCTGAAATCCAACTTTCAGATTTGAACAGCAATTTAAATATAATAATGAAAGTATTTGGTGATTTAGATTCACTTAAACGGCACTAAAATAATGATCTGCCTATTCTTTAAAAAACATAATAGAAGAATATGTATATTTCTCTTCTCCTTTCCCAGGACTACTTTGAAAGTTACGTGAGCCTAGCCTCAGCAGGGCCTTCTGTGTTTTGCCTAATACTTAACTATTTTCTGGTTAACAGGTGAGTAAGACTTCATGCACGTTTTTTCCAGCTACAAATAGATTCAATATGATAGACCAACACAGAAAATATATTTATATATTTTTTTTCTTTCCTGTAACCTTTTAATTATGGCAGCAATGTATTTATTACTCTCATACCCCTAAACAAATGGAGTTCAGCCTTCAGAAGTCCAGCTCTTTAGTGGAGAAACAGCACCATGATGACTGAAGAGCTTAACAACTGGGTTAGGAGGACTTTTCAATTTAAACATAGACATGTAATAATACATATGACCTACAATAACTTAAATTATATCATTGTACTACAGTAGGTCATCAAATCAATTCAGTTTAGTCTGTCAAATAAGCTGCCTGTAGTATCTTTAAAAGTCCAGCAGGTGTCAGTATTCTGTGGGACAATATCAACCCAGTATCAATACAGTTTGGAATCAACCCATCACAAGAGTTTATCTGCTCAGGAACATAACCCTAAATCTGCAGACTTAATAAGGTCAAAGCCTTTTGTGTTAGAATGACCTAGTCAAAGTCCAGAGCTAAATCAGATTTGGGATCTGAGTCCAGATTTAAAACTTTGCTTTCCACTTAATCCAAATTTAAAGCTGTATTTGGAAAGAAGAATTTGCAAAAGTCTTGTCATGTTCACATCTAACATTGACCACTTTTATTGGCAGCAAATGTGATGCTTCTTATAAAGTATTAACTCGGGGGTTTGAATACATAAGCAGGTAACACTTTTTTTTTTATAAGAAAAAACAGATTTTCATCCTGCTTCCCAATTTGGTCCAAGTGTGCTTTGCTTTTTCAAACCAAATATGAGATAATCTGGAATCGGAACTGCTTGGACGGATGGAACCAGTTTGCCCTCATTGTTTAATCCTTTTTCTTTTCCTAGGTTGTCGGCAAACGTTAGGATCCTTTCATCCCTCGTCGTGATGCTGCTTGTATTCGTGGTGACCACGGTGATGGTGAAGGTGGACGTGTCGGAGCACAGGATGGAGTTCTTCGCCGGCACGCTTGCCAGTGTCGCTGTCGTCAGCGGAGCCTCCAACGTCTTCTGTGGCAGCGTGTTTGGGATCAGTGGCTATTTTCCCATGAGGATCTCCCAAGCCCTCATTTCAGGTTAGTCTGCTCACGTTTTCTGTGTGACGCCTTCAGCTCCAGTGCTTGTTGATCAAACAACTGAGTCAAATGGTTGCCTTATAACCAGAACTTTCTGCTGAGCTGAGGAGATCATTCAGAACATTTAATGTTGGTGGGTTGGTTAAATTAAAAGACCCTAAAGAATTACTAGATATAAAGTTCCACATTTTTACAAATAATGAACAAAATAAAAATAAATATATATGGGGTAATTCATATTTAATAAATACATAAGAAATTTGTGTCATTTCGTTTTACAAACTAATAGAAATTGTTCAACAATTTATTGGCCAAACATTTAAATTATTATGTAAATCAAGGATCAGAACCTACATTTTTGTTCTTAAAAAAATTTGTTGTATAACATAGAGGATGGAAAATAAGTATTTCAGCACCTTGTTATTTTACAAGGTCTCCCACTTAGAAATCATTGAGGGGTCTGAAATTGTCATCATAGGTGCATTTCCACTGGGAGAGACATAATCTAAAAAATACAATCCAGAAATCCCACTATATGATTTTTTTTTTGAGTATTTCATCAATGATACAGCTGCAAAAACTTATTTCAGCATCTATCAGCTAGAATTTTGACCCTCAAATATCTGTTAGTCTGCCTTCAAAATGTCCACCTCCAATTGATTTATTATCCTAAATTAGATGCACCTGTTTGAGGTCATTAGCTGCATAAAGACACCTCTCCACCCCACACAACCAGTAAGAATCCAACTACTAACATGGCCAACACCAAAGAGCTGTCCAAACACACTAGAGACAAAATTGCACACTTCCCCAAGGCTGGAAAGTGCTACAGGGAAATTGCCAAGCAGCTTGTTTTAAAAAGGTCCTCTGTTGCAGCAATCATTAGAAAATGGAAGAAGCTAAACATGGCTGTCAATCTCCCTCTGACTGGGGCTCCATGCAAGATCTAACCTCGTGGGGTCTCAATGATCCTAAGAAAGGTGAGAAATCAGCCCAGAACTACATGGGAAGAGCTGGTTAATCACCTGAAGAGAGTTGGGACCACTGTTTCCAAGGTTACTGTTGGTAATACACTAAGACGTCATGGTTTGTAATCATGCATAGCGCGGAAGATTCCCCTTCTTAAGTTTGCTAATTACCATTTGGATGATCCAGAGGAGTCATGGGGAAAAGTCATGTGATCAGATGAGACCAAAATGGAACCTTTTGGTAAGAAGAGAATGACGAGTACATTCACCAAAACACCATACCTACTATGAAGCATGGGGATGGTAGCATCATACTTTGGGGGTGTTTTTCTCCACATGGGACAAGGTGACTGCAGTGTATTAAATTGAGGATGAACGGGGCCATGTATTACCAGATTTTGGGGCTCAACCTTCTTCCCTCAGAGCATTGAAGATGGGTCGAGGCTGGGTTTTCATGACAATGACCCAAAGCACACAGCCAGGATAACCAAGGAGTGGCTCTGGAAGAAGCATATCAAGGTTCTGCCGTAGCATACCCAGACTTAAACCCAATAGAGAATCTTTGGAAGGAGCTCAAATTCCTTGTTTCTCAGTGACAGCCCTGAAACCTGACTGATCTAGAGAAGAACTGTGTGGAGGATTGGGCCAAAATCCCTCCTGCAGTGTGTGCAAACCTGATGAAAGACTACAGGAAACGTTTGACCTCTGTAATTGCAAACAAAAGCTACTGTAACAAATATGAACTTTAAATATTTTTTTGCAGCTTTATCACACAAATAACTTTAAAAATAATACATTGTGATTTCTGATTTTTTTATTTTTTAGATTATGTCTCTCACAGTGGTCATGCCCCTACGATGACAATTTCAGACCCCTCCATGAGAACATGCAAAATAGCAGGATGTTCAAATACTTATTTTCCTCATTGTATGTAGAAAAAACTTTTATTTCTGACCAAGTCAGTGAGAAGTGATTGCGAAATCAGTTGTCTGTGGATTCTTCTCCAAACCTAAAGCTAAACTCAGCAAAATTAACACTCGAAATTTCCCCAAATGTAATTAATCAGCACCTTTTCAGATTTTTCTACAGTGGGTGCGTATTTACGCATTTTCCACTTCTCTCAAAATGTCCTATTTTGTAAAGGCAGTTATTTATTTCAGTCTGTCTTGCAGTATTTCTAATTATTTTCCTTTTTAAAGGGGATATTTAAAAAAAATAAAATGTCAGTATGCACTGAGTTGTCATAACAGCACTATATTATTTCATGTCATTTTGCTGTGGTTTCATACAAATGCAATGTTAAACATTGGCCAGCAGATGGCATTAATATACAGGAAAGAAAGGTTAATCCGAATTTCTTGTTTCTATAAAAAAAATTTTTTTTTTTTTTTTTTTTACATTTTTATCATTAATGTTCAATGCTAAATAACTAATGACACATTTAAGCAACAATTTTATAATGTATTTATTTAGTAAATGGCGGCATGTGACTTATCTCATAAAGGTTTTTACTC